TGCTCTAACTTCAAAACTTGTCCTAGTAATGCTGAATGGGATAGGATAGATATTATTTGCAAATTTCTGGCACCTTTCTATGAGATTACTTGTGCATTCTCAGGTACTAAGTATCCTACTTCAAATCTATTCTTCCCTTGTGTATCTACGGCTTATGCATCACTTAAGCATGAACGGTTACATGGTATTGAGTACATCCGAAATATTGCAACAAGGATGTTAGTAAAGTTTGAGAAATACTGGTTTGATTTCTGTGATATCTTGGCAATAGCAGTCATCTTGGATCCTAGGCACAAGTTCACATTTGTTGAATAGTGCTATAAAAAATTGTATGGAGGTGATTACATTTCTGAAACAAAGAAGGTTAGGGATAAGCTATTTGCATTATTTGCAAACTATGAGAAGGTGGACCTACAAACCTCTGATGACATGTCCTCATTACCTTCAGTTAGTTCTCAAGTTGATAGCTCAACGACTTTTCCTTCAATTACAAAATCACAATTTCTTCAGGTATTTGTATTTCTTTTTTAGTTATTAAACATTACTATTCAGTACCTTTTCATTAACATACTTTTTACATTTATGTTGGCATTCATAACTAGGATTATGACTAATTTGAAGAGGAAATAACTATGCCTAAGAAGTCACAACTTGAAATGTATCTTGAAGAACAAAAAATTGATAGGAAGGTTAAGTTAGATGTATTACATTTTTGGAAAGGTAACCAATACAGGTTTCCTGAAGTTGCAGCTATAGCTAGAGATGTTTTATGCATTCCCATTTCCACAGTTGCTTCAGAAAGTGCATTCAGTAATAGTGGTAGAATTTTGGATCAATATAGAAGTGCTTTAAAACCTGACATTTTTGAAGCCTTAGTGTGCAGTAAAGATTTGTTATATGGAAATAATGGTAAATGTTCTAAATGTTTGCATTGACTTCTTCTCTCAATTTTCTGGCTTCATGTTAAAAGTAATATGCTTTTTCTGTAGTTATGACTGATCCGGAACTTGATGGTGTAACTGAGGACATCATGAACTTGGGTATTACAGAAATAGACAGTGAGGATACCAAATGTTCAGCTAACAGAGTTGCCTAGTTGATTTTGATTATATATTTTTTAAAATTAACTGATGTATAGTCTCTCATAGCTCACTTAGACTGTTTGGTCGTTGCTGCATGTCTTTGGTGTTTTTAAAATGCTGGATTTGTGAATACTTGGATATTTGGATGTTGGCATGTTGCCTTTTTTGGTGTTGTTCAGTGTGTAGTGACTGTTAGGCCATTGCTCTTTGTTGTTCTTAATTATATTTGTCAAATGTTTACTAGTTCAGTACCTGATAATGTTTGGAGTGTTGGACAGTGCCTCACTGGTTGTTTGGTTTAGTGGTTCCATTGTTGGTTGTTGTTGTTGCAGTGTTGCTGAATTGCTGGCCGCCTGGGCTGCTGGCTCTGGCTGCTTATAAAGTTATAACTTATAGCTTAGAATCTAAGTATTTGGCTGTTTCATATTTATGTTTGTGAATTCTGAAATCTGAAAAGAAAATGAAATTCTTATTGGGGCCGCTGGTCGCCTGGGTTGATGCTTAATGACATTTTGATTTCTGAATATCTAAATATCTGAGTTTGTTACATTGTGAATTTGTGATTTCTGAATATCTGATGACATTGTGAGTTTGTGACATTCTGATTTCTGAGTATCTGATGACTGATGCTTAATGAATTAATATTTTTTGAATATCTAATGCTTAATGTATAAGTGTAACTATGAAAGCTCAAGCAATGATGAAAAATCTCCTAAACAGAAAGTGATAGCCGTCGTGTGTTGGTTAATACTATTGCAACCAGGTGGCATTTGCGTTACCTAAATGACTAAATTCAAGAGCATATACTTTATAAATTCATTGATACTACATTAAGTCATTAAGTTTAATGCAATTTGCCGCCTTAGATGGTAATCGTTAGAAAAATCAAGGGTTTACCAGAGCTAATCAACTGAAGCTTTCTAGTTATACTTATACAATTATGGCATTATGCAATCTCAATATCTTATTATTTGGAATTTTGTCATTTCTATTTGTTTATTATTTTTTTAGTTTTTAGAGTTTTAATGTTTATTGTTTAACCATTTTCAATATTTCATTTTGATATTAATGCAAGTTGAAAATAGGTTCAAGAGACGAGAAGGCAAGAATGAAGCTGAAGTGTTGGCACTTGGCAGTTGGCACTTGTGACTTGGTGACGTTGGCGTGTCGGTTTAGCCAGTTTAAGTGTTTAACCATATAAGAATAAATAAATGTACTTTGAATTTTGTATATTATATAGTTTGTAATTTGTAGATTGTAATTTCTAATAAATGTTAAATATAAATTGTCTAATTATGTTTTTTTTCCTTATCATTAATTAATGTTCTGCACTTCTGCTAATATGCTCTAAGCCTCTAATTATAAAATTTTATTAAAATTTTCATGCATTTCAAAAATTCCATGTCGGGTCATGTTGACCCGAACCCGATTCGGGTCCAGAGAATTGACCCGAAACCAGTTTTGGGTTTTGCCCGGGTCGTGTCAAGTACAACCGGGTCAATTTCAGGTCTGACCCGAACATGACCCGCCGACACGAATTGAAAGCCCTAATCATGGCAACCATAAATACACCCATGTTAAATATTTTAAATTATTTTCTTCTTTCTACTCGTTCTCTGCTTTTGCTCTTGATTTGAGTTGAATCTCTAAAGCACCATATTCAACAAGTCAAAGCCTGACTAAAGATATCGGTACTAAATACAAAGATGGACATTTTTGTTTAAGATCTTTAAATAAAGTTTGAGAGCTAATATATTGTATGCTTGAGAAAAAGAGAGAACTTGAGATCCTATTGTAATTCCTATTATTCTCCAATATAGTGAAATCATCATCCCCTTCTCATGTCCATAGACATCTTCACCGAACCACATCAATCGTTATATTCTTTGTATTGTTTGTTGCGTGATTTATTATTTCTATTATGTTTACTAGACAACAAAAAGGACATGAAGATTTTCCTCTTGTACATAGGAGTTCATATCCCAACATGTTTAAGGGTTTACCTCTTTCATCTTGAAGGAAAAGATATTTATAAACCTCAAGGAGCATAGATGATGCTATCATGGCAACCATAAATACACCCATGTTAAATATTTTAAATTATTTTCTTCTTTCTACTCGTTCTCTGCTTTTGCTCTTGATTTGAGTTGAATCTCTAAAGCACCATATTCAACAAGTCAAAGCCTGACTAAAGATATCGGTACTAAATACAAAGATGGACATTTTGAACAAGAAATTTGATAAGTCCAAACTTAAAAAATCATCTTATAACTAACTAACAATATATCTATTAAAAAAAATTCTCTTATAACCCATTAATAGAAACTCCATGAATGATTCTCATCACAGCTCATTAAACAATTTTATCTATATAAAATGGCTCTTCTATATAAACTCTTCTAAGAAAATTATTCAAAATATGGAATAACAATACAAAAAAAAAAAGTACTATCAATCCAAAACAAGCAAGCTTAAGATAAGCATCCTTAACACTTGACTTAACAGAACCCAAGCCTCAGAGTCAGGATAAATACAAACGCCTTATTTGATAGATCCTACAGCGATACTCTCCATAACAAAACCATAATATAAACAATCTTAAGCCTATTTAGAATACCTGGTAAAATTACTTGCTAGGTGCAGCATTCATAGAAATTGTGGAAGTTCTTTGTTGGCCATGGAGTTCTTTCGAGGAATAGAGGGCAACTGTTCTTCCTATGGAGTTCTCCAATTGCTCTCTCAAATGCCTAAGAGCAAAAAGAACATCATAAACATTATTTTTGATTTCTGGATTACTGGCTGCTGGTTCTTGAGGCATGCTCACTGGAACAATAGCCAGCCTTTCTTCAATATGATGCTCCATTGGGTTGTCATTGCAGTCCAGTTTTTCAGATTTTTCTGAAGATTGCCTGCTTGGGAATGCACTGTGAGTTAGGCTTCATTTGGGACGGCTTTTTTATTGCTTCTTAAAGTGATTTTTTAGTAAAAAATTAAAAAAATTATACTAGAAAGCTGCTTTAAGAAGCAGTAAGAAAGCCATCTCAAACGAAGCTTTAGTTCAGACAGTTCAATCATGAATTAGCTTAAGAAGAAAAGATTCTTCTGAAAGCAAAGAACAATTGGTAAAGAAGCAAAATTATAAGAAAATACAAAGCATTGAATACATGTTAAAGAGTTGATAGCTACACCTTGTTGCCGTTGCTATTGATGTCATTATGACTTGATTTTGAAAGATTATAGCCTTAATTTTTCATATTCAAATATAAGATGAGGCTCCCATCTTTATAAAGAAAAAATATGTATAAATCAATAGAAAATATAATAAAGACTCAACACTCTTAAGGAATGACTGAAATAATTTATGAAATATGATTTGATTCAATCTAAGACTAAGTTTGTGTAGCATATTTTCTTTGTTGTGCAAGATTTAAGCTCCACAACTTTAAAATAACAATTTCAAAGAATAGTAGGAAAACATCAAAGCCATTGTTAGCTTAGGTTCCAAGATTTTTAAAGACAAAAGGTTATATACATCCTACAAAATGGGTAATCAAATATCATCTCCTTGAAATTTTACTTATTCAAATGCAGTCATTCCTATAACACAAAACCTCGAGCTAAGCACAAGATGAGCCTAACATATTACAAAATAATCTAATTGACTGTCATCAGATTGTACTTTTTGATAGAGATCTCGTGAAATCCCTAGAGCTTCTCTTTTTAATTTACTTTTTCCCACTCCTTTTCCTGTGTGCCTGTAATATATTTGCTAGTGTTGGATATTGGTCCAAGATTTAGGTAGTTTATCATGTGTACTTTCTTTAATTTTCTTGAATGGCTTGTATTGCCGTTGGTGCAGCTATTAGTTACCTATAAATAGAGGCTATAGGCTGTAATAGGGATGTAATAGTTTTGCTACTCTCCCTTCCCCTTCACTCTCTCCCTCCCCTCCCAAGAAGCTCAAGAAGGAAGTGCTTCTTCCTCTCATTGAATATCCTAACAGCTAGTAAGATTCTGGTATCGCCCATAAACATATTTGAATCCAGCAACGTGCATGATGAACAATAGCTAGATCCTTCCAAGCATTTAAGCATTCAGTGTGACAATGATTAATAAATTAATTGTTGGTCATATTTTTTCACCCAATCTGGGTATCTTAATATAAAAATATTGTCAGTTACTTGAATTGTGTAGGTTTCAACGAAACATTCATCTCAGGCTTTTTATGATAAACATAAATACAGAAATTCTATATGAATTCAGTACAACACCAATGTAACATTGAATTGGAAGACTCTGTGCTGCCATAAATGTTCAGTTTCTTAATTATGGCCTATGTATACTTTCACTTTGTTTGTTACAAGAAAATGTTTGAATATTGCAAAGAGTGACTGAAACATTAGGACTGCTTGCAATGCAACCTTTTCATAATTTAGGGATTTAAATCAACCATCAAGAATTAATGCTATAAAAAGATTAGCAAATAAAAATTTCATCATATAAGGATGTTTTACTTTTAAAATATATTACTCTAATATAAGATATTTTATCTAGATACAAGTATTTCATTCAGGTATAACGGTTTATCAGATATAAGGTCTGACTTTGCTATAATATTTTACAAGATATAAGACTGTATTCAAACATCAAACCATATGCCTAAATATGACGTTTTGAGCTGGGTATTAGATTTTGTCAGGCCTAAGATCTTTACTTCACTATAAGCTGCCTAGTTAAATATAATAAGATCGTTAACCATTACAAAAATTATTAAAAAAGTTAATAGACTAAAATAAGACTTTTAAAAAGTCGGTGGCCATTTTAATCCTTCGTAAAGAGAAAAGGATCATTTTGATCCTTATCTCTTAGTTAAATACATCTTTTTATAGTAACTGACACATCACCAGAAAATCCATCCAATCAAATTCAATTATTGATGCAAATATGTGAATAAAAACTTTTTGAATAAAATTGGGGACCATCCAAAGTATAATTTAAAAAATTATAATTGAAAATAATGTTTCAACACTAAAATTGCCTTGATCCGAGTTCAAGTAAATGTAAATTAGTATAATTAGAAACTTCATGATACAGTTTGAGGAACCAAATAATTTCCGAATATTATATGCTTACAATCAAAATATGTGTTAAGGCGGGAGGAATCCAACTAGCCCAATATTGATCAATTTCATAGTTAATTGGTCACTTGAATGCCTAAAGAACCTTGTGTGATCAAAGAGAAAAAAATGTAGGCCATCCACTGGAGTGTTTGAAAATTTTGGCTAATATGATCAAAATTTTCTTTTGAAAAAAAATTTAAATAGACCCCCATTTTACATATGAAAGAGACTGGAAGTTGGAGAGAGTTCACAATTTTGAAGAATAATAGAGCTCTGCTCAACAATTGTCGCTGCCAATTACCATCACCAAATTCCGTCAATGTGCACCATCACTAATAAGGTCGATGCACATTGTTAACATTAATATCAACTCTTATCATTGCCAACAGTGCCAATGCACAACATGGATACTAATGTCGACACAAGCCATCTTTAGCAAGTTTGATGCATGTCGTCAACTTTGTCGTTGCAGAACATCATCAATAAGGTCTATGCACACCATTGAAACCAATGATGATGCCCACCATCGCCAACAAGGACAACCAACTGTCAACACCAATATCAACGCCAGTCATCACCAAGGTCAATGCACGCCGTCGGCACAAACATCAATGCATGCCATCACAAACAAAGTTATTGTCCGCCATCACTATCACTGCCAATGCCCAACAATGGCACCAACACCAATGTTTAACAACAACAACAAGTCTTATGGTCATCTTCGTGGCATGTGTTCTTCTATCCTATAAGGAGAATGACCAAGCAAATTATTAATGATCTCTTGAAAATAACTCCAATGCCTTAAAACTCCTCCAAATTCCACCATGAAAGCTATAATCCATGATCCATGTTTACCATATTGTATCAATGTCTTCTCCAATAACGAAGAAGGATATAATTTGTAACCTATGATGCACACCTACGGAAGCATTTCATTTGGGCAAATCTCATGGTTTTCCCCTTTTCATGTTTCTATGTAAAAAATGTTGTCTCCAATGAGCTGCTCTCGACTTGTCTTATATGTATCTGTTTAGGATCTTCATATAATGCTAAAATGATGCATCCTCTTTTTACCGTCTTGAATGTTCTAGCACTAATAGTAATAATTATTCAATTTAAATTTGCCACATATGGCAGCTAATTTAGCCTTATCTGTAAACGTGAATTAAAATTAATGAAATTAGGAGAGGGTAATGCTATTGAAATTAATGTTCTGAAACTCTGATCTTATCTGAACAGAAAGCTTCTTAAAAAGATTTTGAGAAGTTAAAATCAATGTTAGTCTTTCCAGGCACTGGAAACGGGACAAAAAGTAAAGCTCCAAAAACAATTTCCAGCTAATTGAAACATCGAATGCTTTCAATGCCCCTTCCAAAATGAAACTTAAGGAAATAACCATATTGTGGTTGCTAATATTGAAACTAAGATCGACAAATATCTTTTTAAAAAACCAATAAGATCCACTTATGTCTTTCCTGGCACAGGAAACAAGGACAAAGCATCAAACTCCAATGACTCCATTTTTATGCCAATTAAATCTTTGACATAACCCAAATTTATCTCAACATATACAAAACCAGCTCACATAAGATGCAAAACTAAATTTCTTCAAATGCCTAAGCAAAACCTGATGAAATTGCAGAACCAAACTTCAAAACCAGTAGTTTGTCATTTTTATCAGAGGATAATAAGCTTTAAGAAAAAATTAAGATTCAGCGTATTCTTAGAAGAAAACAATTAGCATCCTACAAATACATACCTCACAGGACCATCAGCATATTCTTGGGAGACGCTACTGTTGCTTCCTTCATCTCCTTCAGAGGCTTCCTTGTTACAAGAATTCGCTGTCCCAACAGAACTCCAGCTCCCATCCTGAGAAACTAACTGATATGCTGAAGCCTTAAAAGAGTTCAGAGATCCATTATCTTTAATAAGATCCCTCCCAGGTGACCCACATTGCCCTAAATCCTTCCATTTCTCAAATCTCCCTTTATTCAGAAAGCATCTGTTTGGGGAAGTTGAGCTCGCTGAACTATCGGACAGATCCATTTGACAGGGAAAGTCCAATACCTTGAGGGAATCCAGCTTCTTCAACGCAAGCTTCAGCCTTTTCTCAGCTCTTTCCCTGTGTTTCATCTCGTCCTCCAGCTGCTTCTCTAGCTCTGCTAACTGCAGCCCCAAAATCATAGAAAAAAAAAAGTTTTGAAAATTTGATTTTGAAGCAAATAATGGAAAGTAAGGAAGAGATTTTTTTTGTAATACCCTTTTAGCCATGTGGTCTGCTTCAGCCTTAGCAGTCTTGGAAGCCTCTCTCTCTGCAAGCAGCCTCCCTCTCAAGCACTCCACTGTCTTAATCCCATCTTGTGCATCGCTTGCCATTGATTCCCCTCTGAGAAGAAATAAACCAATCAACACCAGTGACAAGATAGAAGCTGAGACACAGAGAATCATAGAGAGAAAGAGAGAGAATACCCGCAGCCGTTCAAAGAACTAAGCGTCCATCAAAATAAGAACTTTAATCTGGGCAACTTTAATCTGAGGGTGCTTTCTCTGATTCGAGACTGGTTCTTCCAGAAATGTGGAGCTAAATTGCTAAAGATGGCAAAATGGAAATACATGAACTGAAACGGGAGTCATGGGGAGTATCACTGGCTTTCTCTTCTTATTTCTGAACCTCCATTTTGTCAGGCCTCATTAATTCCATTACCCCTATAGCAACATAACACATCAGAAATGCTACACTCCTTACCAAAATAACCATACAAAAAGTCATACTATCTCAAAATAATCAGCCCAATGAAAAAATTTAATTTTTATTAATCATTACAAACCAAAGAACATGAGAGATTATTCTGTGCGGACGTCAAACGCAGTTCATTGTTCGAAGACTAATCAAAATGCATCACATCAGCGGTACCGAGCCACAGTACAGAGCAGGAGGCGACGTGATGCATTCTGGTTGATCTTCAAAGAACATATGACAGAGGAAGGAATGTAAGTGAATCAAGCAGATTCATGAGCTGCTAATATATTTGTCTTGTGAGCTAAACTCGATAAACTAATAGAGAAACTCTTTTAAAAAATATTAATATAAAATATATTTAAAATATGTTAAAATCCAACACTCAAGTATAAAATTGTTGAAATATTTGAAAATCACATCTCATATTTTTATATTAAATCCCATTTTTTTATTATTGCATTACAATAATTGCTTAAATCATAATTATTTTTTCCTTTCATAATAAAGGAATAGACCCAAACTCGTTGAATAAAGCTCGAGTTCAAACTAAAACTAGATTAAATAATTAAACTCAAGCTCAAATTAAAAATGACTCGAACCCGATCCAACCCATTTACACATATTTTTTACATTTGAATTTATTGAGTTTGGCTCTCAGTACTGAAAATAGTAATAACAATACTTCAAAGTGAACCATGATTCGGGCTGTACAAATAGCGCAGGGCAAGATTAGATTTGGTGTATGGGGATATAAGAAAGGACAAAAGGCAGACCTTTTCACAATTTGGATGTAGTGATTCACGTGACTACGTGAGTGCAGTGAGAATATCTCCAACCGAATGTCAAACGAGTGTTTGGCGTCGTTCGGTCGCTCCAGCCGAACGTCAAAACGTCCACCATTTGCTTGCGGGTGAACAGTGCAACGCCAATATTGGCGTTGCACTGTTCACCAACGCTATTTTCCTCTCTCAACCGAAAAAACGCGCCAAAGGAGAAGGATCGTTACCTTCGCGCAGAAGCAAAAAAAATGGCGTTCGATTGGAGCAACACCACGCCATTTTTGCGTTTTGCGGTATTTTGGCGTGAAAAATGGAGTTCTTCATTGGAGATTCCCTGAACCCTAACTCTAACGTTTTCGGTATTTTGACATGAAAAATGGAGTTCTCCATTGGAGATGCCCTGAACCCTAACTCTATGAAGTAAGGGCATCTCCAATTCATTTATCATTCGTCCATTCAAATGATAAATGAAAATATGGTTTTGTTTGGAATATTTTTTTATCATTTTTAAAATAACTTTTTAGTACAAAAAATTTCACTTTTAAAAAATTTTATGCTAGAAATTTACTTTAAAAAGCAGTGAGAAAGCTGTCGCAAACAAATATTATATTTTTATATTTTATCTCAATTATGAACAGTGTGATGTTAATATTGATGTTCTGTTATATAAATATATTTTTTTATGTTAAAAATAAAAAAAATAAAAAAAAATTCTTTTTTGATGTTAAAAATAGAGTTCAGTTAAAAATAAATTACTTTTTGATATGGCTGTTATCATATTTTGAAGTGAACGAAAATTTTTTTCGATTGAAGATGTCCTAAAGAACTCAGCTGAAGAAATCAAAATTTAAGAAATTGATCAGTTGTGTAATTATTATAGATGTTCAAAAACTTTTTTAAAATTAAGATTCAACATAATTCATCAGAGTTTAAACCTTTTCCTTTTAAAATTAAAATTTGCAACTTTCTTAATTATATTCTTATCTGATGATAATATAGCAGGTATAAAGCACCAACTCTTTTTATTTTATTTTATTTTTGTCCTCTCTCTCTCTCTCTCTCTCTCTCTTAATTCTTGTGAAAATTTCATGCTATATCTATTTTGTAACACTCCCATACAAAATTTTAGGGATTCATGAAGATAACTTGTTGCCTATTTGAATGATTATGATGCATTAAAGATAGATTATATTCCTCATATTTTCGACATTGATTAAATTTTTTTTCATCGATGTTCTATAAATTTCTTCAAGGAAGAATGCGCGACTGGCTATCTCGAAATTCTCTCAGAAAGGAGGAAGCTAGTAAGCGCTTCGCGCCTCGCTTTGCACAATGGAAAGAGCCACTGGCTTATCTTTCTAAATTCTCCGTTTTATTAGGCATCCCGAATCTACTTATTTAGCCTCTTTTCTTTTTCTTTCAGTAGAAAAGCAGTAGTCACATCCTTTCTTCTATTTCGCTCCGCGCCTCGTCGTTTTTTATGATTATTGACTTATTTTTGTTCGTACACTTTACTTTTATTTAGAAGTATCGATATCATGTAACATATATGATGTGTCGAACTTTAAAATATTTTCTTCCATCTACTTCGTGTGATGCATTAATTAACTAATCTTAATTAAAAGAAGAGACATTGTCCTTTTCAGAATCATTTAAGAGTGTTATCTTTGTTCATAACTAACAATTCTAGTCAACTTGCTTATTTTAATATGTGCTTATATCATCTTTGAGCCATAGCTATAGCTTCAAATTTTCAAGTCATGGCTTAGATTGATTGACCTAAATCTAATGCTACACTAATCAATATTATTATTTTTTAATAAGATGATCGATTGTGAGGAGAGATTAGGTGCCATAGGTGGGTTGGCTACGGAGGTGGGGTGGTTGATTGGAGGATGGATGTCAGTGACAAGCATTGAGAGTAGTTGACTGGCTCAAATATTTGCTAGAAACAAAGGCGGAATCGATGCTTGAGTTGAGACCAGGGTTGGAGGAATTCAGATATATAGGAAATACTTGAACTAAGCATGATTAATAGTACATAACTCACATTAGTCTGTTGGTTGAGAGTTTTGACTATCAATCAAGAGGTCTTGGGTTCGAGTTTTGCATAAGCGATGAATGTGTGAATCTGCCTTAATTGACCTAAATATTCCTAAAAAAAGCATGAATAATAGTAGTGATGTACGTAGCACACCTTGGTCTGTTGGTTGTAAGCTTTGACTATCAATCAAGAGATCTTGGATTCGAGTCTTGTATATGCGATGTGTGCGTGAGTTTGCCTTAATTGACTTAAATATTCCTTAAAAAAGTGTGAATAATAGTAGCAATATACAAAAGAGAGACGGAAAGACGAGAAGAAATGAAAGATAAGACATACTTTCTTTGTGATGCATATTTTGTTAAATTTTATTTATTAGAATAGATCATAAGTGAGATTATTATGAAAAATTTATAAAATTTTCATGACTATTTATAGATAAAAAATTTATATTAAAATTGGTTTAAGAAAAAAACTTTTATTTTCCACAATGATGCAAAGGTAATTTCTACTAAAAAGCTGTTTTAAGAAGCAATAAAAAAGCCGTCCCAAATAAAGCCTAAGGCTTCGTTTGGAATGACTTTCTTATTGCTTTCAGAAGCAGCTTTTTAGTTTAAAAATTTTTGTACGAAAAAGCTGCTTTAGAAAGCAGTAAGAAAACCGTCCCAAAGGCTTAGTTTAGGACGGCTTTCTTGTTTCTTCTTAAATATTTATAAAGAATAATAAAAAATAATAAGATGTTCCTAACCAACAGATCAAGATGAGATGCATTTGTCGATCAATGGTTGGATGGAATCGGTTTCATCATTTATTAAGATTAATAGTAATTAAGCTAGGTTTTGTTTGGGATAGCTTTCTTACTGCTTTCTAAAATTATTTTCGAGTACAAAAATTCTTAAAACTGAAAATTTATGTATATGAAAGCCGTCCCAAATGAACCCTAACTTACTAAGCAAGTTTCACTAATTATGGCAAGTATTGATTTGTGTTCGTATAATGGCAAATGAAGGCCTCGTGAAGGCATTGATGCCAAGGAAAACTTTAAGGACACTCATGCAAGTGAAGTTAATCACAGCACATGCTTTTAGCCTCACCATTGAATGCTCTTCCAGTTCTCACAGTTAGGGCATCTCCAATCGAAACTCTCATTTTTCACTGCAAAATGCAGTAAAATTAAAATGTGTCGTGATTCATCTCCAGTGAAACGTTATTTTGCCTCTAAATCACCGTTCGTTTCTTTCGCGCCTTTCTCGGACAAGTTCGGTAGAGAGAAAGAAATGGCACAAGCGAATCGTGCGACGCCAATATTGGCGTTGCACTGTTCAACTGCGATCAAATGACGGAAGAAATGGCGTTCGATTGCGACGTTTGAGGGCCTCCATTCGGTTGTTTGTCGAACAGTTGGAGATGATCTTAGGAAGCCCTTCGCAATTGGACTCAAATTATTACTGTTCGCAGTCATGAAAATGATGTGAGAGAGAGAGAGAGAGATTTTAGCGAAATTGTAGTCATTGAATTTAATTGGATTGAATTTCTCAATAAGAACTCAATGTCACTAAAAATGATCCATTTCAAGTTCAATTTGGGGTGGAAGTAAAAAGCTGCAATGAAATAATTAAGAAGAATAAAAGCAGCGAAAAGTAAAGGATATCATAATTTTATGTGGAAAAATTCAAAAACCGAAAAAAAAAGCACGGAGCCATATCACACCAAGAAATCCACTATAAAATATGGAGAAATAATAAGTATAAATCTCTCTTATCTTCGTCTCTCTCATTGTATTCACTCTTATACCGTTCTCTCATACAAAACATGAGAAAAAATAAGTTAATAACACAAAGGGACAACACCCTTGAGAAAACAGAGAAAGAAAACTGTTCAATCCACCTCAAAGTGTTGCGGCGCTAAATCTAGAGCACTGCAACGCTCCGCTCTATGTTATTTTTCTCAGCAAACTTTG